GGAAGTGTATGTATTATATTCCATGTATTGTAATGGAAATAATCGCTTTTTTCTTTCTTTACTCCTTAATTCGCCAAGTATTTAGTTTAATTTTTCAATCTTTATTGATGAAATATACGGAAAAAGCCTATTTCACATCAAGGAAAATGCATTCGCAAAATAGAATGTATATGTCTTGCAGTTCCTTGCAGTCCCAGTGCCCTGTTATTCTGTTATTGTTTAAATTTCGTTGTTATTTTTCGAAGTATTTCTTTGTAATTTGTTTTTGGTTCGTTAACGTGAAAATTACCGATGATTAACGTACATCAGTGAAGGAAACCAGTCCTTGGTGAGTAGATCTAGTTTTAAGTGATAGCTTAAAAATATGTTTAGCACTTAATACTTAATTTTACCTTTTTCCCGTCTGAACTAACATTGAAAGAAAGTTTCGAGGTAAGAAATTTAAACTGTTTGTTAATCCCCTCAAGAGTTTATATTTCTGTTTTATTTGGCCTTGTTCATTAGTGCATTATTTATTTTCTTGCAATAATTTTACCATTTTTAAGAAATATATTAGCCTTTATGCTGATTAGTAATTTAAGAAGTATACCTAATGAATGTCAGTTTTCGTGCGGGGGATGCCCAGAATCAGCCAATTAATTCACTCCCAAAGACACGTTGGAAAGACGAAATCGTGTAATAGTTGCTGTAATTCCAAAAGGCAGAGTATTAAGTGGAGTTGCGTCCTCTCGAAAATTAGATGTATATAAAATCGCTCCAATGCTCAAATAAAATATTAATTATAAAAACTTTAAACGGGTACATATTTCTAAAAAATTCGAAAGCGTAATATTTTATGAGTGAAACATACTTAATTATTTTGGATGAAACTTGATGATATTACTTCCACTTGTAGAGGCATTAAGTTATTTTGAATCAGGAAATGTGAAAAATGTTCAGTGCCTTTCCCGAGACTCGAACCTGGACCGCTCGAATACTCGTCGAGTGTACTACCGGTTACGTCACGAAGGTATGCTGGAAAGAGGGAGAAAATGCCTTATACACTAATACTGACCTTGCTTTTTTTTTAATTAAGAAACATAATTTTCAAGTTATCATAAAGCGTTTATTCTCCCCGTAGTAAATTTCTTGATAATAAATGAGAGATTTTCTCTAACATGTAGTAATTATTCATCTTCTTTTGAAAGATTCTTTCTCCCATTCAAAAATTTCAGTTGCTTTTTCAGTGTGTCTTAATGTACTATCGAGCCTTTTAGATCGAAGCTTTGTGAAAGGATTTTACTCACAAATTACGTAGTTAAAAGCTGTAACATCCAAATGCCCGTCTGTCAATGTCGCAGTTCCCAAATTTCATCAATAAATAAAAGTAACAGTGATCTGACCACGGAGAGCAGGAAAGTTCCTGAATTCCACTATCAGCTTGAGCCCGCTTTTCTTAATTCCAATCATTTTTTCGTTTAAAAGCTGATTCTTAATTTAAAGCAAAGAATATCTTTCTTGAAATTAAATCTCAAAAGTCAAACTATTAACAAGTTTTCCATAGCTTCGTTTTCATTTTACTTAGTTCTTCCAATCTTTTAAAGCCTTCAAAATCATTGAAGACAAGGGTTCCTTAGAGCTCTTTTCTAGGTATTTCTAAATGAAAGATCTCAGTCTTACATCATTTAGGCTTTCAACGATGTGTTGAAGGTACTATGGTTTATAAGCGATTATTTATGTTTCAGACATTCATATCAACATTTTGAGTTTTGCGAATTGGATAAAATGGATTTCATTGGGGCTGTGTTTCAAATGGTAAACATTTTTCAGGTTTAGGTAAAGTTCAACAGGTAGTTGAACAGTAGCAGACCCATACTTCTTAGATTTTAAAAGAATGCTCCCATATTCAAAAGACATTAATCAGGCATAACAATACGAGTTATAAATGACTTTTACTTAAACTTTTGCTTTGGATATTTTAATCCTTTTCTAATCTGAAATTTTCATGACTTTGTAATTATTCATTCTGCATAACTGAATTATATATTGTCGGTTGTAAATTCTTTACAATAAATTAAATTTAGCAATTTCATAAAAATAACGCACAGTAATCAGCTATGCAAGTTAGCAGGCTAGTAAAAGTTCTTATTAATGGTCATAAAATCTTTTTTATTCATCTCAGATTTGAAGCTGAATTTTCTGTATCTATATTGATTTTCGTATCATATACACTCTAAATGACTTATTCTTAGACGCATTAGGTCTGTAGGTCTGTTCTTAGACGCATTAGGTCATTAGATATATGCAATAAACTGAAAGCTCAGAAGTCAAATAGTTACCAGTGCGTTCAATAACTTTGCTAACTATTTGAATTTTAGGTCCGCTGAATATGGTGATCCGATCTATGTGCTATGTAATATTTTAACAATACTGAACTCAAATGAAAGAGAAATGCCATTTTTCCTTCTGATTCAAAGACTAATCTTGCGTACTAAACTCGTTTTTGGCTTCTTTCTTTAAGTGAATTTGACCATTAAATATAAGCAGAAAACTATTTGTGTATTCAGTTCCATTTGAGTACTATATTAAAATTAGCTATACTGAAATTTTTGAAAATTAAAGTGCTTGAAAGTTAGAAACTAAAAATATTTAAGGTTGAAAAATTAGTGATATTGTAAGGATCCTAAGTTTTACTAACGTTTATTTTATTTTAAATCTTTACTATCACTTCTTATTTTCTACTTCCGGCCAGAATTAAAAGCTTTAACTTATTTATGCAAAATTTGTCTTGCGAACGCCAAGTACTTAAGTTGTGGCTTTTTGCCAAGCAAGAGAGAGGAAGGAGTTAGTAGAAGCAGGCCGCTTGCCATAGCAGTTTTACTCGGTTGCTGGTTGCCTTCAAGGCCAGAGGTTTAATCTCTTGATAATTTTAAACGTATCGTAGTGTTAGCAGTTCTCTGTACTACATACGGCTTTTTGTTAATATACGGCCAATCTTGGAGTTAGGCACTTGTTTGATTAATCCAATGTTAGTTTAGTTAGAGTTTAGTTAATATTTTTATATTCTTACGTTCAGACCACAAGTGGTCGGTCTCTGTATTCCGAAGTCCGGAAATCATTGTAAAGAGAGAAAAATAAAAGGTTTCGTATACCCTTCCTGTGTGTATTGTCTACTTCCCAAAATTATTGAACATAGCTTTAGTAAGCTCCTGTTCCGAGTCAGGACAGTTAATCTTCCCTAAGCAAGTAAGGAGGAACACAGAACCTGATAATATCATATTATAATAAACTAAGGAAAATAAGCATGACCGCAGGAAAGCGACGAAGATGTTAGACAGAGAGATCTCTATTTCTAGAATTCGTTGGATCTCCATATCTAGAAAGTACTCCAAGAGTTTCAACTCTGGTTTATTAGTGAAAGGTTAAAGAATACACATGTACAGTTATATTACTTTCACTAAAACTTCCTGAATAAAAAAGTTGTATTAACTTGATACTCGATTTGGTGACTTTGATTGCTTCTTTGCATATTTTTAATTAGCAAAATTCTTTCAAATATTTTAAATATGTTACAAAATTTATTTTATTGTCTATATGTCGAGAAGTGAGCTGTTAAGTATAAGGAAAATAGTATTAGGAATCAAATTATTATTATTGGACTATTAATGATAACTTACAGTCCAAGAATATGAAATAATTATTCACTGTAATTCAGCAATTAATTATTCAACGTAGCGTTTGATAGATATAAAAAATAACCCATATATTCAGACCTGTGACATATGTATGATGCTGGAATAAAATGGTTTTTAAATTATGCAGATATGAATCTATAGGTTTGTTAAGGTCATTTGGAAAATTCTAAAATAATGTAACAAGAGGATAATAGAGCTCAAATTATTTTTGTAAAAGTTCTATTGTAATTAGTCTAGCAACTTATTAAGAATTAAATTCAAAGAGTGCTATGATTCACACCGTACTTTTCTCTGTCGTGTTTAAATTCTCCGTAAAATTACATTTTACTTTTATATAGGCGAGATTTTGAGCCCGAAAACAAGAAAATGGAGAAAATTAATAAATGCAAAATGTGATCATGATATGATTCACTAGTTGAATATTACTTTTTAACAATGCAGGCAGAAATAGGTTTTTTAGTTTATAATCTAGGATTAAATCTCATTTCATCCGTATTGTTTCTAAAAAGCATGCACAGCCCACGTGTTGTGATCTGAATAAATGATGGTTTCTTTGATGTCTCCAGGTGGTACGCTGTTCTTGCTGAACTTCTATTGGAAATGCAAATAAAAAACATAATAATAATTTACTAATTTACATGCAAGAATAACATATCAAAACACAGTGAGTTTTATACCGTATGCCAGAACACTGACGAAAATCTATGCACTGTATATGTACTTCATGTTTAAATACGAATTAATCATAGTAGCAAACTGCGATGTCAAGACGTTTGTTCTGATCTATAGTAAAACCTTATTGAATGCGTTAATATTGTGCAATAGGATAATTTTAGTCGTCATACATCACTTCATGTGCTAGTAATTTTCGGTTTTGATCGTTAATTATTTGCTGGCTTTCTAATAAGCTAGCGCTTAAGCTCTACTGCATTCATGCTTTTGAAATATACTACTTTTACGTTCGCATGGAAACTACTGAATATGACCTTGTCTGACGAATTTTTTGTACTTTGCTTTCATTCTAATTCTTTCCATTTTACATGTAAAATTAATTAGAAGGATTTTCTTTTCTTTGATTCGGTTGCCAAGAATAATCTTTTAGCACAATTGATAGTAATTAAATCTGTTCTTGAATTTCTTTTGGTCGAATGCTGATAAAATAACGTCTAAAATAATTGAGATGCTTTGTACATATATTTGTGTGTAGTAAGTTTTTTTTCCCATTTCTTATAATTTGAAATAAATAAAAATAAGATTTATGGTTAAAATATATAAATATGAAAAGCTGATTTGAAGTGATTATAATTTTCTGTGAATATTTTTCAGGTATCACAATTGGAGTGCGAATTTTTGGACCTGTATTCGGTTTTCTACTAGGATCCTTTTGTACTAGCATATATGTGAATTTTCCACTTGGTAAGTTTCTCTCGATTATAATATTTTCAAAATCTCTTGCGAAGAATATTCCCTCATAATACATGTCATAAATACACAGTGTTACTGAAAATCCCTGACTCGATATGAAATGGATTTATTTCAAAATTTACAAACGTCATAAAATAAACACGTTTTTTGCTCTATTTGCATATCCTTTGTCTATCTCTACAACAATAAAGGTGCAGTTTCTGAGACCATATAAGTTTGCGGCAAAAGTGCAAGAAAGCAACATTTATAACATATCCTCTTCTCCTCGCAAAAAAACAAACGTCACGTAAGAGCTCATCGACATAGGACCCGCTAAATGCAACACGAAGTCCTCTTGTCTTTTCAGTCTCATATGATTAAAGCACAGCCATCCTGCCTTTAAACAAACATCCTGTTTCTCGGAATCTTGCGATATTATCTACAAATACCTTAAACGAACATGGTATCAGTTCCATAGAATCAGTGTAATTTATCCTGAACAAATTAACGACTTAAATTTAATGAACTACTACATGTAAAAATTCATCTTTGTATAGCCTCCATTTTTTTAGAAAACAGTTTTTTCCGAAGTCATAGAGAAAATAGCGCCTTTTAAAACATTCTGAGACTTGGAAATTTTTGGATATATGTCATCTCACTTTCAAGTCGGGTCAATCACTTTGATTAATCCTGACCTCATCTAAAGGTATAACGTGGAATAGTTTAATAAATATTTTCAAACATGTTTAAAAAGCATGAAAATGTATCAAATTCTGTAAATAAATTGTTTAATACTTTAGTTAATTAACCTTAAACTGTATTCGAAATTTTTTTTGCTGCGAATCCTTAATCCAAATTCATTCATAATTCAATTTAATTGAAGAATATTTATACAAAGGTAACACGTTCAAAGGTTCCTAAGCTGCTCTCCATTTAAGAATAGAAATTCCACCAAAAAACTACCCCATATATTACATAAATACAAACAACAAAATTTGTTTGAGAATGTTCTTAAAGAGGATTAGGCATGTTTCTGATGATATAAATTTCAAAGTTAAGACTATGAATTTCTTTTAAATTTCGCAACAGACAAGATGTTGTAGACAAACTTGTAGCGTAGCTTTTTGAGTGCAGATCTAAAGGTGTTAAACCATTTAAGCAAAAACTATAAATCACGTTAATAGAAGAAGTTGTCTCACTAATGTGTAAAGCCGAAGAAAGGCATTATTTTGAAAACCTGTTTCTGAAAGCAGTAAATAGTAACAGGTTAACTCACTGTCCCAGAGAAAATTAGATAAAAAATTATTAACAGCTCTTTTGTGAGTCAAATGGGAATAGTTCTTGTCGTCTGATCTCTATTTTTTTTTTTTTTTTTTTTTTTTTTTTTTTGTAAATTGTTGAAATTTGTAAATCCTGTTTTGCAACTTATGAATCGCATAAAAGTGCGTGATTAATGCAAGAATTGATTTCATATTATACTCGTGTGCAAAATTAATAGAATTTACAAATTATGTCTATTTTTACAAAACGTAGTGTACTAAGTTTTGCCCCCGAAGAATTATGCAAATATTCAGAGTCGAATACTTAAGCATATACGTTGTGTCTGCGGAGCTGTGACTGTGGAAGTGGTAAAAACACACGAGGGGTTTTTGACGATTTGTGTGCTCGTTCGCTTTCCTTGCATTCACCGTGTTTCTCGCAAGAGTTAGGTAAATTTTATAAGATATCAGATAAACAAACGAAACAACGAAAAGTGGCAACAACGAAAGTTCTGATGACGGAATGAGGTGGAGAATTGTCGGTAAGTTAGAGGCATGCCAATCAAAAGTGCAGGGGGCTACATGGTTCAATGTAACCCAAGTGTAGGCTGCAATTTGTGGAAACAATTTCAGGATACAGGATAGATATCGAAAAGCCCTGAACATGGTCAACCAATATCGAAAACGACGCATAAGGATTGTTATTTGGCACTTTCGGCAACAGAAAACTGCTACATCTCTCACGTGAGCTGTATGCTGCCTCTGGAATCCGAGTTTCACAACCTACAGGTTGCCCAAAGGTTTCGTGAGATAGGGCTACATGTCAGAGGACCCTCTGTTTGCGTCCAGCTCACGTCAGCGCACAAGAGAGCGCGTTTAGCATGGTGTAGACTGGAGAGAGCCTGAAGCACGATACCATCCATTCCTTCAAGGATCATTGCATTGGTGGAAATTCAGTGGTTTGGGCAGGCATTATGTTGGATGGCATCATACCCCTGCATTTGTTAGACAAAGGCTCTGTGATTGCAGTGAGATACAGAGATGAGATCTTAGAGCCCTATGTTCAACTTTACAGGCCGTGGTTGGTCCTGGGTACCTGTTAACGGACGACAACGCTTGTCCACTTAGGGCTCAGTTCATCTTGCATTCCCCTCCTAGAACCATCCTTTATTTGAAAACTACCTTGCTACAGGAGTGGGAGTGACTGCCAATGGACTCCTCGACTTTCTACTGTCCAGTATGGTACCACGCTGCGGGAACTGTCTGGCTGTGAGAGGGGACCATGCTCCATATTAGACTCATTTTCAGTTTGACATCACAACGTGGATTTTGGAAATCCCTGAAGTCTGAGCTGTACTGATCATCATGCGCACATGAAATTACTTTTGAATGGTACATCTCTTTCCCTGTTATAAATGTGTATTCATACCAAATTTCATTAACATCTGTCGATTAGTTTTTCCAAAATTCGAATGTAATGTGCAAATTCTCTTAATTTTGCATGTGTAATATGAGTAGTTTTATGTGTAATATGAGTACTTAATTATGAGTGTAGTTTACCGCACGTTTAAAAAAAGACTGTCAAATTTGAAATAAAAATTTTAAAATTAAACGATATTAGAAAAGATTTTCTAGTTTTGAATAATGACCTACGATAAGAGACACTAACACATGTTTTTCCATAGTTTCAAAAGCATATTTTCTTTTACCACAGTCGCAAACTTAACTTAACTTAATTAAGTTACTAACTTAAGTAATTAATTAACTAAGTTAATTAAAACTTAAGTTTTAATCAAACCTTTAAATTCGAATCAACCAATTACGCAAGAAGATTCAATATAAGTTAAAGGCATATATGGAATCCTTGAAGAAAACTTACTATAACAATTATTTGTTTCACTTTTTATTTACGTTATTGACGGGCATTCCCTTTGATATTATTTTAAAAAATTCACTGTGTCTTTTTAAGTAATTCTTAGTTGCCGTTGAAAATTAATTCCAGAAAAAAAAATTTGCCCATTTTGCATTTATAAAAATTAGAGTCTTATTTTGGATAAATTGTTAACCTGAAATCCCTTTAAAAAAAATCATTTAATCCTTTGATCTTTAAAATGATGTATTGTGAAATGTTATTTAGAAATATTTAATTAAAATTTATTAACTAATAGTAGAAATTTAAACATAAAAATCCATAATTCAAAATTAAACAAAAATGCAAACTTAGATTGCCATAGATTTTGAACGAAACTGATGTTTCAATTTAAGTACAGCATCAAATGATCCACAATGGACTGGTGCTTGATGGCTCAGAGTGTTCGCTTTAGACACTACACTGAGTTTAACTTATTTCCCAATGAAGAGCTTGTTCAAGAGAGTACTACTCGATAACATACTTGCCTTCTCATACTCCTTTAAAAGCAAATAATTGAGCCATTTTTCCTAAAAAAATGTCCTAAACACCTTCTTCAGCGGTTAGTAAAGGTTGAGCTATTCAAAATCTAAGTCATCGCTTTTTTGCCTAATTTTAAAATTTATCTTGCCTGTTTTTCCTCTGGTAAGATACAATTCTTCTCTTTCAACGCAAATGTTGCGAAATTTTGTCATCAATTTTCCAGGCAATCCAGGTATAACATCCGATGATCCACAATGGATTGGTGCGTGGTGGCTTGGAGTGTTTATTGTAGGTGCTGCACTGATTCTAACTTCTTTGCCAATGATGTGCTTTCCCAGGAGACTGCCTTCACAGATAAGCAGAAATAATGAAGCCGTATGTCCTAACCACGTTCTTCATCAGCCACCTGTTAGCCAACCGAGGAAGCCCAAGAAACCCAGCCTAAAAGGTATCTCACTCATTTAAAGAAATATTAAATAAATATTTCATGTTTATTTTTTATTGTTTTTCTAGAAATCACGTCACACATTTAGCTTCTTTGATAAGATCTTTAAAATAATATTGTAACACTCATGGTGATAAAGCTAAAATAATAATATTGAAAAATTTCAGCTTTTTATTATTCATTTAAAAATGGCCTGCTCAAACGCTTTATCCAAAGGTCCACATTAGGGATTTTAAAAAATGGCGGGCCGTAAATAAAATAATACTTTTATATGCAAATTGTTATTATCAAGGAAAGTAGCTTCTAGCACAGAAATAAAAAAATATCTGGTAACCAAAAATTAAATAAGACGAAATTGGTCTGAACAGGATCACTGATAACAACAAACCAATATAATCTATAGAAAAGTTCCATAACTTTAAGAATTTAATTTTTTATGCAGTTCCTCGTGTAGCAAAATATGCGTTAAGTAAAATTTTTACTGTACCTTACTAAGTTAAACGCAAAACGTTCCTTGCCTATACGTGCAAAATTCGCCAAAAATATTTGTTATTGATGCTTTCTTGAAGTCTACTTTCGTGAACTACATATTTCACAACTAGGGCTAAGGCTACTTTTACCCACAGCAGAACCTGTAATCACCAAAACTAGCAGCTTTTGTTTTACTGTTTCTTTCTAAATGTTAAGTAAGCTTTAGATAATATTTAAATAGACATAAATTTGGCGATTAAAGTGATGTATGTCAGTAAATCTCTTTTGAAATATCTAAGCGAATTTCGCTCGTAAAGACACAAAGCTTTTTTTCTTAAATTTATTAAAGCATAAATGATAGTTTATTAAGTTTAATTTTTCTTTCTTGAAAAGAAGTATGAAAAAGATTTATTTTTACGAAATTTTCCAATCTATAGTGTCTAAATTGTTCTCATAAAATCCTCTATATCATTTTGAAAAACTTTGAAATTATGAATTCCTGTCTGTAATAAATATATTTAAGAAGGTAATGCCTATATAGCCGTATTTTTTTTTTTTTTTTTTTTATTATCCTTGATGGATATGTAATCAATGATTTCAGAGACTAAAAAAAATATGAGTGATCGACAAGCCTTACGTAAACTGTGTTAGACATAAGCTGGTTCATACCGATTTTGCAGAAATGCTTTCTAAATTATATTTAATTGCAAAAGCTGTTGTTAAAAAATTAAATTTCCGTGTTTATTTAGGAAATTAATAGCTGCTTAGTTACGAAGTTCATCGCTTATTTAAGGCAAGGAACCTGTTCTTAGCAATTTTGAACCCAGAACTGTACATTAACGGATAACTAAAAATAATCCATTCGTTTACGTAGAATTAAGCTGTCGATATATAAACGAATAATAGAAATTGAGGTAGTAAATTGATTTGAGGCGTTGGAGCTAACCACATGTAATAGACTCAAGGTATGAAATGATGCAAACAATACTCTACTTAACATAGTATTGTATGAAAACAAAAAACGACAGATGGCAGCACTAACATGAAAGCGTAAACTGAGTTTTTTAGCGGGCTTGTAAACGTTATTTGATATATATTTGTTTACATAATATATGTTTCTTTTCGCAGAAATTGTTTCCCGATTCTTTCATTTGACACGATTTGGTTTTATTTTCAGTCTGGGAAAATAATGAATTTATTCCACATCTGAGTATCCGAAATTTACTTTAAATGCTTACCGGCAAAGAAGTTACGCAAGGCTGACAGTTTGAAATCCGTAATATTCATATATTCAGTGTCAGGCCCTCTGGAGCCATTGTCAGTAGAAGTGGGCCTGCGATGGCTGCACCGCAGCAAGCTTCCCGAGAAGGCACCGTTCGACGATTCATAAATATATCAATTTACATATTATAAACATCAAATAACATCAAATAGTCGACACAATTGAGCAATTTTCGAAAATTAGCCGAAAAATCAGAAATTACCGTAAAAATGCAATACAAATTTCATTTAAATGTTTTTTTTTCCCTCCATTTTAATATCAAGTTTTTGCAATACATATATAAAAAGAAAAATTTACAAATGTTCAGTATTTAAAAAAAAAATAATTTAATTTAAGTATTATGCAAAATGATATCCATTATTTAAAATATGAAATTATTTGAACTTAGTTTTTACAAACTTCGAAATAAAAAAAAAAATAGTCTTTCTAAAAAGGAAGGTCGTCCAACATTGAATTTCAGATTGTTTGGGGGAAAGAAATAAATCTCATTCTGTACATTCAGGGAAAATTATATCGGTTAAAATGTACTGAAGTTAATTTACGTTTATAGTAATAAGCTTCATAGACTTAACTTGCCTGGTAAACGCCATTTTGCTCACATCAGTTATTCTCCTCTGTTTAATCTAAATTGTAGCTCACATGATTTTATTTCGCCATAATATACTTCACGCAATATTCTAACAGTCTCCTAAAATTTTCTTCAGGAAATCTAACACTCAGAATTTTGTCAGACTGGCATTGTGAGATTAAACAAGAATATTAAATTAATTGATTAAGGAAAAGCAACTCTAGGGCTACCTTCTTATTGAAAGGAAGGAATTTTAAAGGGAAACTGGCTTGTTACAGGCGGAAAAAAAAAAGTTGCTTGCAGCCAGCCCGTTCGCCGAGATTCGAACTGTCGTTATTTAGCGACATTACCGCTCGGCTGCTGGTGGGCCTAAAGCACAAATGTCTAAAAACTAAATGTACTTTGATATTAAATTCTTCTCCTATTTTTCGTGTAAATTTTGGCTTGCTTCATTTTTCGTTACAAAGCTCGTTGTCGGATGAACGTAAATTGAAGTTTTGCCCTGATGTATCCATATTTAATTTCTCTCAGAACTGTACAGTTGATTTCATTTACGTTATTCGCAGAATAGCTGTAATTGTTGATACTCGGATGAAAAGAATGGGTATGAAAATTTCATTTTCTGTTAAGATTTGAATGCAAAGAGAGAAGGTTATGGCAATACTTTTCGGATTTTTTCGATTATTTATAATGAAACAACGAAATGAATTTTTATTATCAAAGCTGGAGGTTTAAATTTTTTAATTTTTTTTCTTGTGAAAGAATTAGACCGAAACGTTCCGGTTTATTCTGAGGTATCTGATACTGAGATTACAATAATGTCCATATTAGTAATAGATTTTTTTTAATAGCCCTCGTACCGGTAATAATGATAGTAAATACACATTGTTTGATTAAAGCAATTATATCACTATATATAATAGAATTTTTATAACTTTTTATTGAAATAAAAACTAAGTGAAAAATGGCAGTGCTGCGTAATAAGTTAAGACTTATTTTGACCACCAGTGGTCGAGTGACTGAGCCACTGAACACCAGGAGATCTACCTACCTCAAATCTTAGTAAACAGGGGTGCTGCATGAATGCTATCTTCGTTTTGCTCAAGTGTAATGTGAATACAAGTTGGAGTCATTTAGAAAAAAAATCCTCTTCGAAAGCCGTCTCCATAAGGAGGTTGCTCTCGCCTGCCTTGCCTTTATCAGTCAACAAACCAAATCGATAACTTAAGCAGATTGTCCTTGCCTGCTTTGCCTTAATCAGATGAGGAAGCAAATCGAAAGCATGTTTAATTATTAACGATTAATTTTTAAAATTCATAGAAAAAGCAATTTCTATTTCATATAGTTTTAATTTCGTTTTATTACTTAACATTTATATTATTGTGTCAAATTTATATAAGGTATCAAAATGATAAACTATTGCAAGGGGCTGAAAATAATAACATCTTAAAGCAAATAAATCAAAAAATTTTATATATGTTGTTTGTATCAAATTTAGAACTGCAAGAAACGGGAAAAGACCTTGCAATAAAAAACTGTAGCAATAAAATAAAGCTGCACTCTTAATAGAATGATTAGCCTGGGTATAAATCTCGGTGAACAGTCAGGCTTCACAGGTTTTTCCAAGGTTTTCCGAGAGTACAACATAAATGCTAACCAGATTCCCTCAAAAAGACTTTCACGCAAGCATCATTTCCTTAGGCAGACAGCTCTTATATTCTTTCAATGTCATATTCTTTCAATGTCTTTGTCTGAATTAAACAAGAAAACAAATATAATAGATTGCCATTTTCTATTTAGTTTTAAAATCATGATACTTCTGTATTTTAAGCAGCTACAAGTTTAGATGTGTTAAAGATAATTCGCGAATGCTGTTTAATTAAATCGTAATGTCCTTCGAAAGTTGACGGTAAAAAATATTGTAGGTAATCTTAAATTTATCTTTGCGGAATAGAAGTATTTCCATTAAAATTGTGTAAATTGCTGTAATAACTTATTTCTGAAGTTCTTCTTGTCTCAGTCTTTCGCAGATTTAGTAAGTAATTTACTGTGATTTTAGTAACTATTTTTAATGCAAATAATGCATATATAAATTTTATTGGAGTCTATTGCAAGTGTTTTGTTGTACATTTTTCAGATTTTCCTGCAGCTATGAAAAGATTATTGAAAAATGACATTCTTCTGTACAGAACAGCTAGCAGTGTTTTGCACATATTACCTATTGCGGGACTATACACTTTCCTACCGAAGTACCTTGAAAGCCAGTTTCAGCTTAGTGCGACAAAGGCCAATATGATCTCAGGTATGAAAAAGCATTCGGTACTGTGATCTATAACTATCTAGCTCAATTTTCTTGATATCCACATTCAGTCCTTTTTTTTTTTTTTTTCCTTTTGTGATAAACATTCTAAAATGATTGTCGTTCAATACGTACGTCATAAGCAATTAAAAAAATGATATTAATGTGTAAAGGTTTGTGTATAACATTTAAATGCTTAAACATGTAACATTTAAATGTTTAAACATTGTTTTCTAACTGATGTATTCAAATCTTAAATTTTAAAACAGTGCCCATTTCTTTTCAAAAAAAAAAAAAAAAAAAAAAAAAAAAAAAAAAAGAAAGAAAAGAAAAGAAAAATTATGCTTTTTTCCCCTTTATATTGTATGTTATTCATAAAGGATATTAATTAATCACTTAAAGAACAATTTAAGAGCTTATTCTAGTATTTCCTTATGATTTCTTATATTCGCTGAAATAAGGTCAAATGTAATCCAATTTTAAAATAGATTACAATTCATTGCTAAATGCCATCAATATGAAATACTGTTAATTCTGTGTTAGCCATCTTCTTATAGTAACGCAGGTAAATCCTCGAGAAATTTTAGTTGTTTCCTGTGTAAGATGTATTTTAATTTTATAACAGTTATTTTAATTTTGCTGTGCTTTCCTATCAATTCTTGTTTCCGCTTATAGCTCCCTACCAGAATGAGTTGTTAGAATCGCGTTGAATGCAAATGGGTTAGAAGTAGTACTTAAGAAAGATTCGATTTACTTCATGAGAGAAAGCTAGGGATCCGTAGTAGTGTGTGTTTGCCTTCACGCTAAATCTCTCTTGAAGCTGTTACGCTCGGGCCATATATTACGTGCCTTTTGATATTCGCCGGCTAGTTTCAATCAAGGGCCAACTACCTTAGATGCTAACTTCGACTAGGTCTCTTAGTTAGTTATAATTTAGTTCTAATTTCTTAGCTGAGTTTAAGCCTGAGTGGAGGCTTTGTTGTAAGCCCGAAAAAGGGCCCAACTGTTCATCTTATTTTGAGCAAAATAAAGGGTACTTAACCGTTCTTGAGTCTATATCTTTAATTACTTGAACTCAGCGATAGTTCGCTAACAGCTCACTAGGTTCCCCAACTTTTAGTAGAATAAGAGTGAGGAACCCTACACCTGGATTTTATATAAGAAGAATTTTGGGCAAAGGCTAATTTAAACAAGTTAATTGTTTCCAATGTCCTGTATGCAAAAAGTACATTTGTCTGAGAAAAGTAGTTAAAATATAAAAAGAAATAAGCTGAATGTTTATGAAGTATATCATTGCTGATATTGCTATTAGTTTTATTTCTGAAAACATCCATTTTTATAGCTAAGCGACTGCTAGCTTTCTCTGACGAAGCGAAAGTAAATAATTCTGGTCTGCTAGCTTTCTCTAAGACATTATATACGGCAGGAAAGTGAGTAAAAGCATATCTTAGTGTCTGTCCATGTGGTTATGACAAATATAAACCTTAGTTTCTTGAAAAGTTCCTCTTTTTTTAACGTACGACACCTTGCACCTTGCAACGACTTTTTCACATACGACGCCCTTTCAACAGAAATGAATTTCAGACGCCCGTAGAAAATTGACCAGTAGTCCATTTTCTCGGTATGTTAACTTTAAGCTTTGTTTTCATTTCTTATTTATTATTATTATTATTATTTATTATTTCATTTCTTAAAGGAAAATCAGTGTTTGCATGAATCATGAAATTAGATTTTAAAGACAAAAGGAACTATGCAAAAAACAAAAAAACTTTCTGCCCATTATTCCTCAACAGCAAAAATAGATTACCTAATGTTAGCACCTTTAGCATAATATTTTGTTTTTGTGAACAGAAACAAGAAATCAGCTAAAATCAGAATTTTTTTTTAATCAAGTTATCTGCCATATAATACACATGCTAGAAATTTTCAGAAGTCTTGTTTTTGTTTTGATTTGAATTCGATTGGCAATTCATTCTTATTGCCACAATCTTCAGGAGCTCAGTAGGTAAAAGGAAATCAAGTCAGTGTCCAGAATGCAAGTATGGAAATAAAAGAAATTTTTGAAATGCATTTAAAATATCTGAGAAAATACATTTCAAATTGAAAAGCAAGTATCGTAGAAGTGGGAACGTTTGTAAATAAACTAGATCGTATAAAATTTTTGATTTAATAAAATTCAGATCTACTTATAAATAAGCCAGCCATAGGCATAATATAAGTTAAACTGACTTAAAATTAAGAGAACTTCTTTGAAATTTTGGAGAAAAAATTGAGTTACAGTTTTATAAAAACTTATGAAATTAGGCTGTAGAGACATTAGGATTATTTGGAAGCAGGCAAGATGAAAAAATAGCAACGCCTTCGCCGGGAATCGACCGCGGAACTCTCAATTACGCGCTGAGCGTGCAGACCACTACACGACGAAGGCTCGCTAAGAAGGCGGGAGAAATACCTTATAAGACTTCCCGCCCCCTTCATTTTTTAATGCATTTGAACATGCTCCGAACAGAACGATACCTGACTCGTCCACCACCATTCTCAGAAACTCTATGTTGCTTTCTATATAGTATTTTTATATGCATAAATTTCCTTGAGCTACAATTTTTATTAAGCAGAATGCATTATGAAAAATTTTAATGCCTTTTATAAACTGTTATTGATGCCCTTTTGTAACAGTCTTCGTTCCTAATATTAGGTATGGCTGGCATTTTGGTAATGGGTGCAGGAATCTTTGCCAGCGGCACTTTCATGCGTACTTTCAAACCCAGTGCAAGGTTCGTCGCAAAATGGATAGCAGCATCGGCTCTTGCATATTCGTTAGGTATGGTCATCTTGATGTGGCTTGGATGTCCTTTGAATGATTTTGTTGGACTCAATGATACAGGGTAAGTGCATTTTTTTCACTTCGATTAATAGAATTAACTCTTGAAATCCATTGTTTCAGCATTAAAAAACTGTCTCATCTTATATAAGCAGGGTTTATTATAGTAACTTAAGAAGTTTTGTAAATGCCAGATGAATCTGTGTAAAAAAATATTCTGTGTATACCACATGAATACACACAGTGTAAATGCTTTACTATACGTTTTAGCAATAAAGTACATAACAATTTTGTATTTCTTCAGTCTAAAATTTCTTAGCTGAAGTAATAGATGGTTATACTAATCATTCAGGTAATTTATTAAGATACACAGTTAGAGAAGGGCGCAGAGATGATACAACCAGTAGAAGAATGGATGATGAAAAAAGCTTCAGGCTTGTTGAGAGATTCCTGAATGTGACCCTTGCAACATGCATTCCCGGTTTTCGGGGCAATAGTGAAAGATCTGAACATAGCAGGACTGTTTTGTCAATCATTAAGCTCTTATCAAAGTATGATCACTGTTGATCGAATTACTCTAGCATTCACATGATGCGGCCCAAAAATCCAAAATGTGAAAATGAGCTTTTCAACTTTTTAGTATATGAAGTTAAAGATCACATCACTTGGGAACTTCAAATACTTCATTTGTTTTCACTACTTTTAGATACAAGATGTCTCTAAGATGACAATTGAGTGTGAAGTTCGTAGATATGTGAAAATAGTGAACGGCAAACTGCGGAATTAAAAATTTATGAAGTTTTTTTTATCTCTTTTTATTAAATAAGAGATCACTCATAAAAAGCCATTAAGAAGGAATCAGGTAATCTCTGCACAAGAAAGGTTTGTAATTACCCAAATATCGTGGGCAAGGATATGATTGTGCGCAGAAATGAGTGGGGCATACAGTGTTGGGCAACAAATTGTGTATTATAGAAAATTCCTCACTTACTTTCTTGTTCATTGTGCGGCTCATAATCTAAATTTGATTTTAAAAGATATTTTTGAAGGAAACACAGAAATTTTCCACTATTTCGAAAGAGTCCAAAATGTATGTTGCTATTTTGGCCATAGACCATTTTTCGCTGGGATAATGATAATGTGCCAAAGTGGATGCTGGTCTTGGATGTATGGTGCCTTAAATCATAGGTTTAAAGATACTAAAGAAACTAAAGACGCTGAAGAAAACAATAACCAAAAAAAAAAAAAAAAAAAAAAAAACTGGGAACATTTGACATAGTCCAGCTCTTAGTTATACAGTGTTGTATAATGCAAAATTTTAGGATTCCTGAATATCGTTTCAAAATCTTCAAAATCTTTACAAATCTGAAATTGTAGATCTATTATCAACATATTAATTACAGAAGAATGCCTTGCTTAAAATTACCGAAATGAGAAAAACAATTTGGAGATCTTGCGTCTGTCGCTTCAGGGTCTTTGAGCCTTGGGGAATAGTTGAAGTAGTTTGCTGGAAACAAAGTGGAAAAAAAAAAACCAGTATGACAAATTATGCAAAAATAAGCGATTAAAAGATCAGAATCTTGTTTAAGGGTAACTGTGTTTTACGTAATGATAAATATTTTATGCACATAATCATTTTCAAGGTATGGAAAATATTCTTGATACTTACCAAATAATTCGGCCTAAATTTCTTATGTAGAGAAGAGGAAGAAGAGGTTCTTATATAAGAGATAAGCGACAAAGCAGTTGATTTTATGCGAAAGTTTCCTGAGGATGTGCCCTCAAAATTTCCTTCACAGGTTCTCTTAGTTTTAAGGTGCCATTTAAAGAGCAGTTTGAAAAATTGAATAGTAGCAAAGAATTAGCAGAAATGTTGTTAATAATAAAGCACAGTTTACTTTCATCCAGTTTTCCTGATGTAAGCGCAGCATGCACCATGTACTTAACGATTTCTGTATGTAACTAAGGTTGAACGGTTATCATCAGAATTGAAATTAGTAAAACAACTACGAAGAATATGGGACAGAAAAGGCTCGGTAACTTTAGCTTTGCTCTCAACTGAAAATAATCGCGTTAAAAAAATTAAACTTCATAAAATAATTAATAAGTTTTCAGTTAGAAAATTCAGAATTTTATTATAAAAATGTAAAAATAAAGTATACTAAATAATTTGCTAGTAAATATTTGACCTTAATTATGTTACATATGTTTCATATTACGCTCTGTATGACGTCAAATAGCTTTAGATATCATATTCCTTTTTAAACAGTTAAACAGGAATCAATAACAACATGTAATAACACACATCAACAAGATGTTAAACGAGAACTTTTTTATTCCATTAAAATGTATAAAGCTACTTCAGTTATTGAGAAACTGATCAACCCTAACTTGGAAAAAGTGGCTAAAATTGGGAGAGATAAGGAAGGGAGGCATTTATCATCTGTTGCTGGAAGACCCCCCTCCCCCAAGTCACTGTGAATAAAAAGTTACGGCCGTGTATACACTGTGAATAAAAACTGAAATAGCGTGGTCGCATTGACATACTTTTAAAATATACACCCAAAATAAAATATTAGACAATGATGACTGAATTTCTTGCCAGTAGTAGAAACTCAGCTTACTATCATAAGATCTGAGAAATATATGAAAGTAGTATCCATGGAAAAAATCAAGCAAATTTACATAAGTAATACCATCTAACTTCTTTTTTCATGGAGAATTGTTATGACAAGCATTTAGTTAATATTCTTTAATTGCGCATTCGTATCTTTTAGAGCAAATGGATAGCTTCAAAATTGTTTCTCTTGTCGAAGTCTTGGAATCTACTAATAACTTTCTTTACTTGTATTCTGATAACAGAACTTAACGCGTAAAGTGCGTCCAAGAGAGAGGATCTATGTAAAATAATGAACATGTCTATCATTCTGATGTTCGTTTCGTTTCGTTTATCTAGCTTTAAATTCTTTTGTTGTCTGTGAAATTATATTTTGTGCAAATATTTTTCGCAGATTTTCGTTCATAGCAACATATTTTTATATGGTAGTACATAACATGTATTTAATTAAAGCTGCTTTTTCTGTTTACGAATACTAGCTGAAACTTTCTAACATGATACAAATAACTGCAATTTGAAAACTCCGCAGTAATTTCTACTGCTTGTTTTATAGTCTTCTGTAAAACAATATACAATTTTCAGTTATACAAGTAAAAAGTATTATTTCAATTACTAAAATATTTTTCTGTAGAAATTTTCGCTTTATTTTTAAATTTCTGAGTGATGAATTTGCATAATAAACTTTTTTATTTTCAAACATAAAAATAGATAGCATTAGAATGCAAGTTATTTTCCACTATTTTTATATATTTCTCATTTCTTGACAAGTAAGGAAACATATCTGCTATTGTTAACAAAATGTTTCGATTTCAAATTTGTAATATTAAAGATAATTTGTAATTTCTAATTCATTGAACTGAAATCGTTGCGTAAAGGTACCGGCCCCCTTATGCTTAATGTTTTGCAAGATAGAAATATTTTCATATGCACCAGAGCGCCAAGGCATAAAGGTGCAAACATACAGGTCCCCTTATGAAGGAGTCCCGGCTAATTTTATTTTTTAGTTAGATTTGAATTTTTTTATATTAAATACTGTAAGCAGTTGCTTCTGTTTTGCTTTTGAAATATGTATATGCTTTTCATGTGGTATGTATTTCCCGATTACAGAAAACCAGGTTTAGCTCTGCAAGCATGTAACACAACGTGTGAATGTCGACTGGGAGAATTTGCACCTATCTGTTCCTCCGAAGGCATAACTTATCTTTCTCCTTGTGTTGCTGGATGCACTAAAGTTATAGCAGAAGGTGATGATGTAAGTTGCCTTTCTTTCTCCCTAAATTATTCATAGCTTAAATATTAAGAAGTAATGACAAGTAATTATCATTTAGATGCTTAAAACTTTCGGACAAATTTAATTCAGATGCAGGCACACATGATATGTTGGTCTAATGTATTATGAAAAATTTTATTTGCCCTGCTAGCAATAACAAAATGAAACTTTTAAGACAGCCTCTTATGAGCTAATTTTTCGAAAGTATTATTATGACGTGGGAAAACATTTCAACAGAAAAAGGCTTAACTCAAATGAATGTGTTACGAAGCCTGGATGTTATGTCTTGTTACTCAAACAAACGAAGTTCTTGTTTGAACCTTCACCATTAACCCGAGTTTCAGATTTATGAATCAGTGGGCTTTAATAAATCTTTTTTTTTTTTTTAGCCTTGTCAGATTTTGAATATTGTTTAGCTTGAGAACCCGATTAATGCAAATTTTTGCACAGGTTTTCGCTCCAGCTAACAATCGAATCAAGGCCATTTTTCCTAGAACTGGTCCTCTACTAAATAGGCTATCCGGAGCCGTAAGCCACATTTGGATAATTTTCATTTAATCCTAAAACTCGCGTAATTTGACCTCGGCTAAATTATCCGCCCGTATTTCGGCCTATTACATCCTCTCAACTGGACACCAGCATCAGAAGCCTAGACATTTAGAAGAGAAAGGGATACATTAAAATGGCATAGCTGTTAACATCAGTGAATCAACGAAATATATCTGCTTTTAAGTTTCAAAGCTTAAAACAAATGAACTATTTTTTTTATTATAAGATGTATTTATATTTCCTGTTTATGAAAGGCAATGATGTTAGTAGATTTCATATAGTTAAGGAGCAACAAAATATACTTAATGATTGTTATCAGCTGCGAAATTATCAGAAATAGTATTAATCTGATTCATATAGGATACCATTAGTAGAAGTTTTCTTTGCGCATAGGCAACCCTCTCATTCATTGTTCATAACGCTAAAATACTGTGTATTTTCACACAGACCATTTTGAATTCTTTTAGTCACCATGAAAGTTCTGCAAGTCCATAGCAGAAAGGACTTGGCCTGCTCTCTTATGTTACGGAAAAATTACCGTAATAAAATTTGCATATTCTTAAAAATCAACAAAATTAAAATGCGTACATAACATTAATGTAGTTAAGAGAATATTATTTTGTAAGTTAAGTTTTATATATAATACTTACAGATGGTAATTATTGCAATTTATATTAATTGCACAAAAGTGATTTTACGTCGTTTTTTGTGAAACTTAATGATATTGCTTATATAATATTTTACTTCCTTGACAACCAAAAGAAAAGCAAACCGTTTTCAGCGTTCTGTGGTATATTTTTATTTGTAAAAAATTTTCTCTTTGCTCATCGCGTGCTTTCGTGTTGGAATTGGAAGCTTTTCCGACTAGTATCGGAAGGTCTGATGTTCGAAGCCCTGCGAGGGTATAACTGAATTATCACATTCTGTGGCACCAAAAAAATATAAAATTTTAGCATGTTATTTCAATAGAAGATGAACAGATTTTTGATAAGAGATTAAATAAAAAGTAATATGAAGCGTGTGCAAAAATACAAAATAAAGTACACAAACGTTCATACACAAAATGTTGAATATGTTCAAAATACCAATTTGAAAAATATGTAACTTGTTTCTTTGATTAATGCGGTAATCAAACTGCAATTTAAAGCAAATTATCCTGGACTATATGAATCTTTGTCTAAGAGCAAGGCTAAACTTAAACAATTAGTAATAAGGCACTAAACTTCTTTAATACCAAGGAGAAAACTTAAATTTACTTGTAGTTTTCAATTTGTGATCACATAAATGCACGATAGAAGGTTGAAGAACATCCCCCCCGCCAAGTTCTGTAAACCTAACCATGCAATCAAATTCATTTACTTTATAAACGGGTACCGTTATAACCTATGTAACTCACACTGTTCTTCAGTTACCTAAATTCCTTTAATAAGACTTTAACCAACTTTTATATTTAAATCTGAAAATTTGTTTTCAGATGTACTGAACATAATTCATTGCTATCACAAATAATTATTTTACAGATAGACTTACAGTTGTTCTCTATTAATAGCTTTTGAAAATAATTTTAACAATATGCGAACATTTACTATTATTTTGAAATAATTCTAGTAAATGCCATCTAGACATGCTTGCAAGTTTACCTTGTCTTTCAATTTTGCAAATATTCTGTGGGGTTTCGATAGAGCGTAATTTTCTCAAGTGATATCAGAGACTGTTCACATTCTTGTTCACTTGTTTTGTCAATCGCACAGCGGCAGATGATGCACAAATTCTAATATGTACTCATATTTATATGCGTATTAATGCATTTTCAGCCTACGCCGACCGATCGGGAAGATAATCCTTTTCAAAATAACACTGTGCGGCTCAGTCAACGCTCCTAATAAAACAAAGCCTTGACACTGAAATGTGATGACACGAGTAGTCGTCTCAGTCGATATGCTAATAGGTTGGTTGGTTGGTTTGGTTTTTTTCAGTAATGAGTTTCATTAATGATTCACTTGAGGGTTATCTGCGTAAATCTAATCTAATCTAAGAAAATAAGCCGTACCGCCAAAATTGGCACAACCGGCAATTTAAAAGAAACAAACTGAAAGATAACTGAATAAAAACTACAACAGAATAAGGCCTACTTATCCAAAAACTCATCCTCCGCTGGAGATGTGTCGGCGCCGCCAACGGGTCATCTCGACCTTCATTCAGAATAGAAACCACCTATTTCTTAACATAAAATGACTAAATTGAACTCAAGACAACTGCTAACCTAAACAACAATTAAAAAATACAAATATTGCCTAGCTTAACGAACAATAAGCATTTACAGTTTTCAGTAAATTATACATTGTATGTATACAAATTACATTATAATTTATGCAATTCAAATCAAAAATTTAAGCTATTAAACAAAAGGATCGAAATATACATAATTATTCAAATTGGTAATAATTTTTATAAGTCCTTATTTAGCTTTATTATTGCTATATAGATATTTTTCATTATTTATAGATATATTTCGAAAATATTCTCCTCTAATTTCCTTCGTTAAGGCACAGTCCCAAATGTAATGTCTATTAGATGCTCCAGATGCATCCTGACCACATCGGCATTGAATATCTTTCCCATGAAACCTTTTTAGATATTCTGGAAATTGGCCATGTCCTGTTATCAATTGATTTAGCAATCTATTGTAACTTAATCTTTGCTCTTTGACAACAGGAAATATTTTATAAACCTTTCGTCCAGTTTTGTCATAATGCCATCTTTGTTGCCATGTGTGGAGAATCGTTTCATGTAGTACACTCTTAATATAATTAAGAGATAAAGGAACCGTGATATCAATATCTGTATTATAGCATGCTTCCTTAGCAGCAGAATCTGCTGCTTCATTTCCATGAATATTCGAATGTCCTTTTATCCAATTTATATGTAATTTCATTTTTGAATTAATATTTTGAATATAATTTCTGACTTTATCTACTTTTGCGGATAAACATTTTCTAGAATTAAGAGCTCTAAGGATGCTCTGGGAATCTGTGAACACCGAAATCTCCCAATTTGTAATATATTTCTCATTTTCTTCCTCATTAGCCCATCTTATGGTGTTTTCAAAGGCAATAAGTTCTTCATCAAAAATAGTTGAATTATTATTCAATCTTAATTTAGATTTATATACAAATTTATTATTTGCAAAAGCAACAAATGCTGCTCCAACATTTTTATCAATCACGGAGTCCATCAGAGAATAATTCCAAACCAACACCAGTTGGAAGAAGTGTCTTCCAGGTAACCTCTTTAAATTGTGCCGGATGAAAATAAAACTTTTCTAATTTTAGATCAATTTCTCTATTAGAAAATCTTCAGGTCACAATAATCTATATTCTTCTTCATATGAACAGCTTTATAAATCAGCGTTTCAGCCTTCAGCTACTAAGTCTATAGGCGTAACCCCAGCTAAGACCTGTAGGCTGGTGGTAGAGACTGTTCTGTAGCATCCCGTAATGGGTAGCATTGCAACCCTCTGAATCTGTAGCAATTTATTTCTCACCCTTTCCGTTCCAGTCCACCAAACGGGTGAGCCATACAATTCCTCTATTGTATAATTCTTTTAAAATACTTTTACTTTTAAAAGAATCCGTACATAATAATCTATTCATCTTATTCATAATCTTAAAAATTTTTTCTTTCAATTTAGTTAAATGTGGCAACCAACTTAAATTTGTATCCAAAATTATACCTAAGTATTTAAGTGTTTTTTCGCTGCGGATTCTTTTTCCATTCCACGTCAATAAAGGTAATCTGATTAATTTTGAGCCTTTTGGGATTGTTATCATAGCCATTTTATCTTGACTAATATCAAGCTTATTTACTTTACACCAGTTATAAAGTTTATCTAAAGCATTCTTTGCTTTTTCTTCTATAATTAATCTATTACTTCCAGAAATCACCAACACAAAATCGTCAGCATAAGCCTGCAAAAATACATCCTTTTCAAATTTCAATTGTAAGGCAGTATCAGCCACCAGGTTCCAAAGTGTAGGGCCTAAAACAGAACCCTGAGGAGCACCTTTATTATAATATTTCTCAATATTTATATTATTTCTTCTGTAAATAATTTTCCTATTATTTAGATAACTATTAATAATATTGAAGAGGTTTTGAGGACATTTTAAATCTAGAAGTCTTGATTTGATGCTGGGCCACCATAAGCTATTAAAGGCATTGCTAATGTCGATTGCAATCAAAGTAGTATGTAAATTCTTTATCTTATTAATTCTTATAGTGTCAATAATATTATTAATTGCCAAGATAGTATCTTTTCCTGGCGTAAATCCATATTGATTTGCATTTAGTAGATTATTGCTACCAAGAAAATAAACAAGCCTATTGTTAATCAATTTATCGAGAACTTTACCCAAAGTGGGTAATAAACAAAT